CCCCATCGACTTTGAGTTCCGAACCATGAAATCTTTACTTGATTAAAAATATCATCACAAATTGTAAATCAACTCTACGTCAATAAAATTTTTAAAAATGTATCGCAAAGATGGAAACTATTCAGAGGGAAATTACTGATTTAGAGCTTAAAATGAAATCGTGTTTGGAAAGAGTGTTAAATCACCTTTTTTAAAAAACTAAAAATTTTATTTTAGAATATTTTTAGGCTTATAGAAAAAGATTACAAGGATAGTACAGAGAGCTTCCATATACCCTACGCCTAATGTCCCCGCTATTAACATCTGACATTAGTCTGGTATATTTGTCACAACGAGTGAGCCAATACTGATACATTTTTATTCATTAAAGTCTATAGTTCACTCGGATTTTCTTAGTGTTGACAGATGTCCTTTTTCTCTTCCAGGATCCCATCCCACTTGATCTTCACGTCTCCTTGGGCTCCTCTGGGCTGTGACGGTTTCTCACACTTGCCTTGCTTTTGATGAGCTGGGCAGTTTTCAGTTCTGGTCAGGTATTTTGTAGAACTTCTCAGCTGGGATTCGCCTGGTGTTTTCCTCCTGGTTAGAGTGGGGCTATGGGTTTGGGGGAGGAAGACCCCAGAGGTAAAGGCCCTCCTCATCACACCAGGTCAAGGCTACATGCTCTCAAGGTGACTTGTCCCTGTCGATGTTGTCCTCTTTGGAAGGAAACACTGTAGGCAGCCCACACTTCATGAGTGTTGAGTTAATGCTCCACCTTCTCAAGGGTCATGTACCTACACACAGTATCTACAGTTCTTCCACGGGGGAGACTTTTCCCTTCTTCCCCATTTCTTTCGTTCTTTATTCAATCATTTGTTTATATCAATATGGATCTGGGGATAGTTCTTTCATACTTTGGGTTATTAACCAACACGACTTTATTTTGTTGCTCAAATCAGGAGCTTATCCCTTTGACACAGCCACACGGTTGTCATGTTAATTTCTCCTGCACAGCGAAGTGACTCTTGCACACACACACACGCACATACATATTCTTTTTCATATTCTTTTCCATTATGGTTATCACAGGATATTGACTATAGTTCCCTGTGCTCTGCAGTAGGACCTTGTTGTTTATCCATCTTATATGTACTAGTCTGCATCTGCTAATCACAAACTCCCATTCCTTCCCTCCCCATCCCCTCCCTCTTGGCCACCACAAGTCTGTTCTCTATATCTGTGAGTCTGTTTTTGCTTCATAGATATGTTGATTTGTATCATGTTTTAGATTCTACATATAAATGATATCACAATGAACATTCTTAACGACGATAAGGCAAACGTGACATCTGTGATTTTTAGCAAACAAAAGCCAACCTCCAATTCTAGATTGATTTGTTATACTGACTGTTTTTAAACTCAATAAGAGTTCAAAATTAAATTTTAACCAAGCTTTTAATTCGGCCCTATCAATCACATTTACAATTGAATAGCTTTTTGCATAGAACTCTTATCTTCACTTTGTTAATTCTTTTCACTTGGTCTTTTGATCAGGAAGAATGAATTGGCTTGTACTCCACAAGTAGTTTTTCTCAAGATATTACCTGTAGTTCTTTTTTTTTTTTTTTTGGATAGATTTTGTGACATTTTTATTACTTCTTCAACAGAACAAAAATAGCTTTTGCATTTTCATTTATGATAGGTTTTGTAAATGTCAAATTCCTTGTTAGTCAAAGTTAACATTCCAAAAGTCAAAGAATGATGTAAATAATGTTCAAGTGTACACAAGTAGAGTTTGAAGTAATTTCATATCACTTTCTCCCATCCTCCGAAAATCAAGATAACCTACTTTTCAAATAGCTAACTGAAAGAAAGAAATCAAACTGCAGTAAAAAAAAAAAAAGGACGTGATATTTTTAAATATATCTATCCATATTTCAAGTATAAAGAAGAAACATGAGCATACAGGTAAAAAAAACCAATGTGAAATCCATTTGCTATGATTGCTTTGTACATTTTAAGTTAATTAACCATGACACCAATTCCTTGAAACTAACTCTTACAGAATTATGGAGGATTTAAAATTAGATTTCTGTCAACTTTAGAAGTAAGCTAAATATCTTTTTTCCTCCTGCTATCTCCAAGGAAATAAAATTGTTCAAGTGCATCGGTGATTTGGTTGTATCTTTTATTTCTTCTTGTTACTTTCTCAATTTTAAGAAAATTACAAACAGACAGATTATTTAACATGCTTTCAAAGGAAGAGAAATGGAGATCAGTGAGTTCGGGATACTAACATAAATTTAGGGTCACAGTCTCAGATGTTCTCCGGGGCCAGACAACTGACGTGTACTCACATCCCTGTGTGCCCAGCAGAAACAAGGCGAGCTGGAGAACTCCTGTCCTTCCATTGCCCTCCAAGGAAACATGGCATGACAAGGGCCAGGGCTTCTGCGATGTACTTAAAAAAAGTTCAATTTCCCGATTTTCAAATGTTGGCAATTATTTTTCTGGAAGCATCGTGTGCAGTCTGTGAGCTGCTTTTGGCCTACAAACCGTCCATCTGCAGACTGATAACTGCCCACAAGAACTTCACATTGGGAGCTGATCCACCAACCACAATAACTTCCACTAAGACATAGAATTGTCAAGATCATTTGAATTCTCCTGCTGGCTGATCTGAGCACTATATTTGAGAGACTAAACAAACATGAAAAGGTTGCTTGGTGACTTAAGAAGCAAAGTAAACAGAGATGGAGGATCCCAACAGATTATATGACTCGGTGATAGTAACTGGATATACTCATTTATTCAGCAAATACATATTGCCTTGCGTGTGTCAGGCACCAGAAATACAGCTGAGTACAGGAGCAGTCTAGAGGTAGGAGGCAGTAGATAAATAAGTAAACAAGAAAACTAGCACTTGGTGAAAACTACAGTGCAGGAAAGTAGACTAGGTAATGTGATAGCAGGTGCCTGAGTGGCTGCTGTATAGGAGCCAGTGAACCCGGCAGCCATCAGAGTTTCCAATTCTTTCTCTTCGCTCTTTTGGTTCTAGGTCCCTCTGTGAGGTCACTTTTTGTGGTCTGTCTTAATAAATTATAGACCAGCTTAATTGCTACCTTTTAATCTTCCTGACTAGATTTGGGGGGCATATTGATCCAAGAGGGATTTAGGGAAACCCCTAATCTAATCAGCAATTTAATTACAATGCCTGGGTCAGCGCTGTAGCTGACTAATCGCAAACACCTTATGTGGCTTCCTTTTAGCTTGAATTTTAAAGGGAACCATTTCGAGTGTGTCCCCAAGTCTTCGGAATGTACCATTTGAGGATTTTTATCACCTTTTTGAGACAAGAACTAGTAACAGCTTGGCAATGAAACTCCCCCCCCCCCCCCCCCCCGCCCCAGCGCTAGGGCTTCTCCCACCTAAAAATGCATATTGACAAATATCTTTTAAAACTCTTTCCTATGATTTTTTCGCTGGTTTTTTGCTTGCTTTGTTGAGGTTTTGTTGGTGTTGCTCCCCCTGCCTTTTGAAACGGAGAAATCCTGGAGTGCAAAGTCAGAAGATCTGGTTCCAAGCCAGAAGTTTGGCTCTGCTGCGGGCAACGCCCTAACCCTATAGCTTCATCTTGAAGACCCACCTCTTGGGGGTCCCATGAGGACTGAGTGAGCGTGTGTATCAGAAAGCCAACCCTGCAAAGTTCAATCTTTACTGAAATACTGAACACTAACAAGTGCTTAGTGTTAAAATACGTGCAGGTTTTGGAACCCATCTCTCGGAGGTTTGTTGTTTCCTTTGCCCCTGCATATCTAATCTCCCCTTCTCAGCCACACCAGAGTCCACGACCTCCCCCGCCCCCAAGGCCCGGTGCGCTAGAAGGCGTTTAAAGAAATCTCTCTCTGGTGTGCAAGTATTTTAAATTGTAAGTACGTGTTGACCGTAACAAAAAAGAACTGCAGGTTAAAAATGTAAGCAAATAATGGAAATGCAGGAGTATGTTCAGTATATGCAGCTTAGACTGTATTTTTTTGGAAAGCAAAAGCATTTCTCCCACTTCCCCCCCCCCCCCAAACAAGGCTGGAAATGGATTGCTCTATCAGAGACACCCATTAATAAACTTCTCAGAACGTCAAGGGTCCTATCACTGGGCACGCCTGGTGAAGGGGCCCGCCGGCCCGGGCGTAGTAGGAAACACGCGAACGCGGCCGGTTGCCGCAGGGCGGTGTTGTTCTCACGGCGCTGCCCAACGCGGTCTGCGCGGGACTGCGGGAGAGGAGGGGGGTCCGGCCTCCGCGTGTGCGCCTGTGCCCTCCGCCGGAGACCGGAATGCATCTTGGGGAGGGGGTTGGGAACACCAGCAGTTCACGATCATGTACATATAACTCGGTGTTGGCAATATATCCTTCCGGCCTCGTGCTTACATAGCATTCCTTTAGGAGTGGGACGAGAAATGGCGATTTGGGAGTGGGTGCTGCGGACGGTCGCGGGTGACCCGACGCTGCGGGTCACACACGACCTGAAATTGGCAAATGCGCCCCCTCGACTCGAAAATCAACCGTGTCAGCACCTCGAAACAGCGCAAGAGGGTTGCTCCCGAACGCTGGCGACCCTTGGCCTCGGGACCTGGCGTGGGGTGCGGGCAGCTGGTGGCGGGCACTTGGGAAGAGAACAGAGGTCACCGAGAGCCGGCACCGCGGGAGCCGAGCCTGAGGACCACCCGGTCACCCGCTCAGCGCGCGCCGCCCCCTCCGGGCCGCCAGCCTCACGAGCCCGCGGTCGTGGCGCCTCCTCCTCTCCCTGCCGGAGGCGGAGCGGAGCCTGGCGGGGATCCTCGCGCCCCGCGGCCGGGCATCCCGTGTCCCCGCCCCTCCCCGGCTGCTGCGGCGGTGGCGGCGGCGGCGCGGCGGGCCGGAGGGGGCGCTCGCGCGCAGGAGCCGGCGCAGCAGGTGCCGCGTTACCTCCACCGCGCGGGGGGAGAGGGGGCGGGCCGGGACGCGGGAGGCGGAGGGAGGCTGCGGAGCCGAGCCGGGGAGCGCGGCCGGCGCGGCAGGCTGGCATCGAGTTCGCGGCTTCCGGGAGGCGCTGGGGTCGGATAAATACATCCCGGGCGCGCGGGGAGCGCGGAGCCGACCGCGCCGTGCTCCGCAGGGCTCCCGCCGGCCGACACAGGCACAGGCACAGGCGCGGCGCCGCTCCTCCTCCTCCTCGCGCGTCGGGCGCGGAGCCGCGGAGAGCGGCGGGCTCGGCCGCCGGCGCCCGGGCCTCTGAGCCGATGAGCGGCGGCGGCTGAGGGCCGCGGCCTCTGCCCGCCCTCCGCCCGGCGCCCGCCGGGGCCGCAGCCCGGGCGCGGGTGGCCGGCCATGGGGGCGCAGTGACGCCGCGGCAGCCGAGCGTCCCTGCGAGCGGCGGGCCCTCCTCGGCGGCGGCGGCGGCGGCGGCGCCGGGCCCGCGCGCTCTGCCCAGGGCCCCGCGGGAGCCTCCGCTGCGCTCTATGCGCCTCTGCGCGCGCCGCGAACCCGGGCCATGGCGATAGACCGGCGGCGCGAGGCGGCGGGCGGCGTCCCTGGGCGGCTGCCGCCCGCGGCCGAGGAGAACGGCGCCCTGCCGCCCGGGGACGCGGCGGCCTCGGCGCCCCTCGGGGGACGCGCGGGCCCGGGCGGCGGCGGCGACATCCAGCCGCTGCCCGCCCCGCACGCCGCCGGCGGCCCGCACCCGAGCCTCCTGTTGCTGGACTACGACGGGTCGGTGCTGCCCTTCCTCGGGGGCCTGGGCGGCAGCTACCAGAAGACCCTTGTGCTGCTCACCTGGATCCCGGCGCTCTTCATCGGCTTCAGCCAGTTCTCGGACTCCTTCCTCTTGGACCAACCCAACTTCTGGTGCCGCGGGGACGGCAAGGGCGCCGAGCCGGCGGGGGTCACGGCCACGGCCCGGGGGGGCGGCGGCGACCTGGCCAACTGGACCAGCCCCCCGACCACCCCCTTCTCCACCGCCGCCTGGGGGACGGCGGGCCCCCTCGGCAACGGCAGCGGCGCGGAAGGGGGCGACGCGCCGCCCCTGCAGTCCCCTCCGGACAAGGGGGACAACGCCTCCAACTGCGACTGCCACGCGTGGGACTACGGCCTCCGCACAGGCCTGGTACAAAACGTGGTCAGCAAGGTAAGGGCCGCGACCGCCCCGGCCCCGCGTCCCGCTCCCGAGCGTTGTGCCCTCCGCGGTCCTCGCGCCCTTCCCCGCGCCCTCGTGCAGACCCGGGTCCCCGCAGTGGTGCGAGCCCGCGTGTCCTCGCACCTCACGTGGGCTTGCTGTCCTTCCATCCCCCAAACAGATGTGTTTGCCCGGGTGTGAAGCCGGGCTCCGGCAGCCCTCTGCGGTGGCCCTGCCTACCTACGCCAAGGGGCACCTTAGCCTTCCGAGTTGGCACCCAAACTCCTGTCCCAAAGCACACACGGAAGGGTCGCCCCTCCCTCTGCAAAGGCTGGAGCTTCCCTCCCCGACCCTCGAGCTGCCGCTTCATTCAGGCAGGGGTGGCCCGCGGAGGGCAAGGCCTGATGGCTCACCAGCTGGCCCTGGAGGACGCCCCTCTCAAGGTCTGCCCGCTGGAGCCCGGCCCCAGGCTCTGCCCTTTGCCGGGCCAGCTGTCCCCAAGTCTCCCACAAAGAAATAGCCTCCGCCAGAATAGTTCCTATTCCCAGGTGTTCTTCTGGGCACACCTCAGCCATCCAGCGCTGGCTTTGGAAACAGACTAAAGCTGACTAAAGAGCTCAAACTGTAGCCAGAGAAGCAAACAGCTTTCGAAGATTCCCTTTCCCCGAGCTCAGTCCTCCCCAGAGGTCGGCGTATTTCACGTTGGACTTCGCCACCCCAGTGTTCCCTCAGGTGTCTTCTCGGGACTGTAGCAAACACCATTGGAGTATAGGAAGGATGCTAAGAATTTGTGGCGTTTCGGGACCACCCCTGCTGTCACACAGCAGCTCTTTTGTCCAGGCGTTGAGGTCAGATCCTGGCCAGCTTTACCTGGACATCTGACTTGCTCCAGCCCAGGGGGGCCCTCTAGCAGAGGTGCTGCATCCTGGGAAATGGAGTCGGAGTGTTTGCCAGAGATATGTGGCCGTCATAGAGATGGAGAAGGGGCAGTACTAGAAAATCGATGCCTAGGACATCTACAGTTTTCTGGATTTCTTAACATACAAGAGAGATTGTATGCCAGTGTGTCAAACAACTTGTGTTATTGTGCCCCTTCTGTGTTTTAAATAACTAATTTGCCTTTCAAAGTAAATGTAGACCTTTCTCCCACTTCTGAGCAGTTCTGGGCAGAGTTTGAAACGCTTTGTTTAAATGCAAGACTGAAATTTGACAGTTTATAATAATCTATGTGCATGTATCTCCCCCCCGCCCCAAACGTGTGTTAGTGAACAGTTGTGCCACATGGATGTGTAAGATGAAACTCTTACATCATCATAACCCTTGTCTTCAGCTTGTACCAGCCTGGCGAGAAATGAGCTGTCCTCCGGGAACTGTCTGGCTTAGCTGTTAGTGGGGAGATCCTTCTAGCTTGGTTCACCTTGATCCCGCCGGTCAGCCTGTCCTTTGCCAAGGCATTTCTGTGACTGTTTCCCATCCATGGAGGTCAATATCTGGTTGTGGTTTACCAGCACGGAAAACTTAAGAACAGTGACTATTTTAATACTGTTTGTATGTCTGTGAAAGTAAGGATTTGCAACTTGTCAAATGCTTTGAGCCTCTTTCTAGAGTACAGGAGGAATGATGTAGATCGAAGCAGATGTGTGTAGAGGGTGCCCTGTTCTGGGGGTCACAGGGGAGGACAACTTGGAAGTTAGCCTCCAAGGAGGTGGGTCAGAGTATCATTGTCTTAGTGGTGGGGACCCTGCCGTGGATGGTGGGAGAAGAAAACTAGAGAACAGTTCTTGAAAGCAGGCTATGGAGGCGCCTTGGAGAGCCGGACAGGTATTCCAGGTGAGCACTCGAGGGGGTCAAAAATGGCACGAGGGTGTGCAGCATGGTTTGGGGTGCGTCAGTTATGTACAGCTGACAAGGCAGTCCGGGAGGTGAACACTTGGGGGCAATAGGTAGAGACGCATTTTCCTGTAAGATAAAGACTAAAAAGGACATATTGATTTTCACACACAAATGAGATCTAAATAAAGGACTGTTCTGTTCCGTAACCAATGCTTTCAAGAGCTTTTTAAGCACATTTTGGCTCGTACTGAGGCCGGCTTCCTCCTCTGATGCCGTGTCCGCTGGGTCCTGTATCAGATGTACAGACGTGGAATGCATATTGTGATGGGTGCTGATTCCAGAGGTCAGGTGCCTGCCAGCTTGGCTTGCAAGTGGAAGCAGAAGTGGCAGGCTTCTCCTTCTGTCAGTGGATGAAAATTCAGGGTCTGAGAAGTTGCCTTTTGTACCATCTTCCCCCACTGAGCGCCGCGATCTTCCCACTCACAAAAGCCCCGTGCGATGTCTTTATCATCAGACTTCCTTCAGCAGGTGTGTGCCTCCCTGCGCTAGAGGGCCAGTTCTCTCCTCAGGTATTAGATGGGGAGGGGGATACAGAAGAACCACCAGGCACATATTACATTATATTAAATATATGTTTTAGATGTATATCATTAATAGCTATATCATATTTTGTGTAGTCTAGCATACAGGCTATAATAGCGTTTACACACGTGAAACTACCAAGGCAGATAGAGTCCCAGCTTGTTATAGTTAAAAGGGGTCTTGGAACTGACAAGAGTCTCTCCGCTCCTGGGTGGCATCCCCGGCGCGGCTGTGCCTTGCACAGAACCCCGTTAGCTGGTTAGTCTTCCTTGCAGAGAGTCGTGCTTTTTGGTGGACACAACTCGGGTCATCTCATGCCTGTTTGTGCAGCTCTCTCCTCCGAATGATTCTTTTTCCTTCATATAATACGTGCTCAGATACCTGAGGATACCCAAGGACTGGTTTCTTCCCTGGCTAAGAAATCTCCAGCTCCTTCAGTCCTTCCATACGGGACAGAATTCACCATTCTGATGGGTCCACGTGGCATATGTATCTCTTAAGCATGGCACCCAGAACACAACAGGCATGGCCTGCGTGTTCTGATCAGAAGAGAAGACATTGGCCACTTCACTAATGAAGCTTACAGTCGATCATTAAGGCTTTCAGTAGACGTGTCATCTGTCTACCTCGGGGCCTCGATGGGATCCCGTTATGTCAGGGCTTTCTCAGCCTGTGCTCGTGTGATGTGGGGCACCATGTAGGTTCCATCTTGCTAGTTTGGGGTTATTAGATCTCTCCTGTTAGGATCTTTTTTATTTCTATTTTTTGCCTTGGTCCCTGGTATTTGTTAACCAGAATTTGCGATGCCTTCGGAATAGTAATAATAATAATGATGATGATGTCGATGCCACCACCTTTCTTTTGTGCTGCCCTGTAAAGTTTTCAAAACATTTTCACCTGTTATTTCCTTTGATTAAGAATGTTGGGCCGTCCAAGGCAGTCTTAACACTGAGTGTTGTCTTGGATTTTAAGTCAGTTCACCAGCCTTGAGTGGACCAGAAAGTTGGTCCTCAACTTCCAAATGCCGTTCATTGCTCTGCGTTTTATCCCCAGCCGCGTAGAAAGATCGTCAGTGCTTAACATAACTCTGCCGACTTTAAAATACTCCTCCCAGTAATTTGCATGGTTTATCTTATACTGCAGTGTTCAGAGTGAACCCTTGTTGGTTTCTAGTGCTCTCCACTTCCTTGAATAACCCCTAGAATTTTGCCTACCATCAATGTTAGCAACACTCTCTTTCTGTACGTGAAATTTAAGATGTTTGTTTATCTCCAGTCTTCTAATATTATTTTCTGTTCGCCAAGAATTCTCACAGATTGCTGGCCTTTATCCTGTAAGTAACCTGAGAGTTGTTTAAATACCCCAGGAAGTAATTTGAATTCTTTTTCTGGGGCTCAAGATTAGAAGTTATTTAAAGTGACTCAGTACGATTTAATTAGGGTGAAAAATAATTACAATGTCATCACAACAGGAATATCTTTAGAAATAACTCACCGGTAGGTCATCCTAGTGTGATTTTATTTCGTGTGACTACTATATACAACACAACAGTGAACATCTTTGTGCGTGACTGTGTTTAGAAACTTACTGAAATAGACAATGCATCACATGGGACCAAAAGCAAACAGTAAAAGTAACATTTCTCGCCATCTCTGCCTCCAGTTTCCCTCTTTGGAAGCAGCCATGGTTACCAGTTCCTTATGTATCCTTCCAGAAATATTCCAAGTATATTTTCATTTATATATTTTTCTCTCACAAGCTGTTCGTATACACTGTTTCAGACCTTTTGTTCACCTGTGTTGGGGATGGGTGCGTATCAGTACAGGGAGCCCCTCATTCTTTTCTGTGTAATAATTTAACAAGTCACCTTCCAAGGGGGCATTTCGGTTGTTTCCAGTCTTTGTTATTACATAATATATAATGAAACTCCCCCACACATGAAACTTTTAGAAGTGGAGGGTCAAACTGGGCTGCATTTTAATTCTGACAGATGTTGTCGAAGTGCTCTCCATAGAGATCTTATTGCCCTTTCACATTTCCATCCATAAGGTGTGAGGCCCCACTCCCACACCCTCCCTGACCCAGGGGGCTGTCATACTTTTAACATGTCCTCGTTTGACATGTGAGAAATTGTTGTTGTTATTTGCATTCTCTTGTTAGGAGGGAGGTTAAATATCTCTGAAATCTTTTGAGCCATTTGTGTTTCCTTTTCTTTGAACTGTCTCTTCGCATCCTTTGCCTTCTTGTGTGTATATTTGGGGGGAGCGTTATTTTCTTACTGATTTATAGGAGTACTTTATGCATAAAGTAAATGAAGCATTTTGGATGTTTTGTAAATGGTTTTCCCTGGTGTGTTGTTTGTCTTTTGATTTTGTTTATGGTATTTTTGTCACGCAGAAACTTCTGGTTTGGATAGAGTCAAGTGAATCTTTTATGGTTTCTGGGTTTTGTGGTAGATTTAGGACTTCTATAATCCTGGAATATTAGGGAAAAAACACATTTTCTTCGAATATTTTTAGGATCTCAGTACCTTTTTGATTTGGTGTTGTAGGTGTCAGATTTGCTTCTATTGAGGCATTAGGATGAATTGCTAGGAA